TCAAAGGCTGCGTGTGATGGACCTCACGCAGATCCCACTCTGTCACCGCATTCACATTCCCGAGCTGGATGTGCTTCCCACTGCCATGTGGGTAAGGCTACTGAGCCAAACACTCCAGGCGGAGTCTCTTAAGCAAACATCCACATCATCCACTGTCTTGTGTGTCAGGCCATTGAGCCAAAAGCTCTGGGTGGAGTCCCTCAAGCAAACCTCCGAAGCACCACCGCCACCTCGCGTGCGATTGCTCACCAATGCAATCGTATGCCTGCTCGCAAAGCACTCGGCATCGGGTGCTAGAACATGCGCACACTACTGGACCGGAACTCGAACGAGCGGCCCGAGCGACGCACTGCACTGGTCGCGATGGAACTGGCGCACTACCACATCGATATTGTGGCCCTCAGTGAAACCCGGCTCGCTGAGCAAGGTAGGTTGCGGGAAGCAGGTGCTGGCTACACACTCTACTGGGTGGGCAACGCCACCACAGTACCACGTGAACATGGGGTCGGATTTGCAATATCCGATCGCCTCCATTGCCACGTAATGGGTGAACCAACAGGCATCAGCGCTCGACTGATGACTGTTCGCCTACGACTTGGAAGAGGTAAGTTTGTCACCTTTATAAGCACGGACGGTCCGACCATGTGTTATCCCGATGACACGCGTGATCAATTCTACACGCAGCTATCCTCTGTGATACTGTCTGTGCCGAGGAGCGACCGACTATTTCTGCTGGGTGATTTCAACGCGCACCTTGGGCCTGATGCACTGGTGTGGACAGATGTCATCGGTCGGCATGGCATTGGTTCAACGAATGGGAACGGTGACAGACCGCTCTCACTGTGTGCCACTCACGACCTGACGATCATGAACACTCAGTTTGCTCTGAGTGCGAGTGATATAGCAACTTGGACGCACCCACGGAGTGGTCACACTCATCTGCTCGACTATGTCATCATACGTCAGCGTGATATGCGTGAAGTGCGCATGACACGTGTACTGCGTGGAGCTGAGTGTGGCACTGATCACAAATTGGTGCGGACCAAACTGTACATATATTTTCGTAAATCGATGTATTGCACTCCAGCAGTGAATCGGCATAAATTTAACATTCTCTCCATCGGTACTGCGGCGAAAACCATTGAGCTGGAAATGGCGGCGGCTGCACGCCTGTGTAATGTGGGCTGCATAGGCATAGTGGACAACCTGTAGCACCACATTCGCGCCCAGGTGACAGCTGTTGCCGAGGAGACCATCGGGAGCGCAAACTGCAAGCGGCCTGATTGATTTGATGAGAACAATGCGACGATTGGCGCATTGGTGTCGGAGAAGAATGCAGAATTTGCTGCACATGTGGCCGACCCCAATGACTTGGAGACGATAAGTCAGTTTCGCAAACTTGGACGGCGACTGACCCGTGGGCTCCGTCGCATTAAAAATGCATGGTGCACGACGAAGACGAAGCAGATGAAATGCTACGCCGGAGGTAGTTAACACGAGGAATTCTTTGACCGCTTGAAGGCGGTGTACAGACCGAGATTGGAGCCGCTGAGGACGCTGATCGATGGTAGTTCCGGCGCTACCTGCACACAGACTGCAGACATAATGCAGATCTGGAGGAAACACTGAGTCTCTTGAACAACCGTTCAGAGACCGACTGGCCTAAATTGAACTGCCTGAAGCAGCACGATGTAAATACGAGTCTGGCGGACACGCCGACACTAGATGAGACGCAGAGGTCACTTGCTCAGCTGCGAAACGGCAAGTATGTCCGTGCCGACGGGATCCCGCCTGAAGTATTGAAACACGGCGGACCCGCGTTGTTGACTGCGCTGCACCACTGGGTGCAACGCGTATAGATTGAGGAGGAGGTGCCTGCTGAGTTGAAGGATGCATTTGTGCTACCACTGTACAAGAGCAAAGGGAGCAAGCAATGTTGCACAAGTGATGGTGGTATCAATTTGCTGAGTTGTGTGGGGAAGGTGATTGTCCGAATCCAGCTCAACCGCCTCATCAGGCAGGTTGTGGAACCTAACGTAACGGAAGAGCAGTGTGGATTCCGTTCGGGTCACAGCACTATAGATATGGTGCTTGCAGCTCGTCAGTTGCAGGAGAAGTGTGGAGATGGGCACCAGCGGTTGTACTCACTTTCTGTTGATTTCACCAAGACAATTGATAAGGTGAACCGTGAGGCATTGTGACTGGTGTTAGGCGAGTTTGGCTGCCCACGTAAGTTTGTAAGTTTACTTGAGTGTTTACACAGTGGTATGCGGGTGAGGGTGCAGCTGAGTGGATAGACCTCGGATGACTTCGCAGTTGTCTCTGGTATGGAGCAAGGCTGTGTCTTAGCTCATGACCTGTTTAATCTATATCTTCATGAAATGTTGTCTTGTGTGTTTGATGCCGCTTGTGTTTACGGTGTTCGTGTGAAGCACCGTATTGATGGTGGGTTGTTAAACACCCGTCGTTTCGGTGCTAGAACCCTAGTCTGTGAGACAACCATCCTTATGTCGCTGTTTGCTGACGACTGTGCGTTGTTTGCACACAGCGCGGATGAGTTGCAGCACATGACTAGTGCTCTGGCTTCGACAGCGACCAAATTCGGGCTCATCATCAACACAAGCAAAATTGCCTGTCTCTTTCAGCCTTCACCGGTGGTGCAATCTTCAATATTGCTGCGAATCAGCGTTGGTGCTGAAGTATTGGAAACCACCTCCCGCTTCAGCTACCTTGGGAGTGTGATGTCGACTGATCAGCCGCTTCACAGTGAGCTGCGTGTTCGCGTGTCGAAGGCAGCGGTGGCTTTCCGGATGCTAGAGTACCGAGTGTGGAACAGCCATCAGCTTATCATTGGCACGAAGCTGATGGTGTACAAATACATGCTGCTGTCCCTTCTTCTATGCGGCAGGGAAATGTGGACGATGTACCGGGGGGTGCGCGATATCTCGAGCGGTTCCATCAACAGCGTTTGCGACGCATTTTGCGCATTCGTTTTTGTGACAGAGTTGTTGACACGGAAGTGTTGCGACAAATTGGGATGTATGCAGTGGACTGTATACTTTGCTGAGACACTTGTGGTGGCTCGGTCATGTGTGGCGTATGGATACGACGCGGATACTGAAACAACTCTTATACGGTCAGCTAAGTATTGGGAAGCGGCAAGTGGGGAAACCAAAGTTGCGTTACCAGGACATGATCAAAGTGAGCCTCTCACGTTCTTATCTTGGTTCCAGGTCATGGGAATCGAAGGCGGTTGATCGGCGTGCATGGCGCGATCTAATCACAAAGGCAGTTGCCGAAGTGCGGGAGAATTACCTCCTGTTTGCAGAGAATTATCGGCAAGTGCGGAAGCGGCAAGCACCGATGGGTTGTACTGCATCGACATCGAGCGCATGGTGCTGTAGCACAAGCGGTCGCCGGTGCCTGAGTCAGGCAGGTCTGGTGAGCCATGAGCGAGGCCACTCGGGACCACAACGGAAGTGACGACAACGTAGGCAGCACCGGCGCAGCGTTTGTAGGGACGCTGAATTTGATTTACTAACCACGTGCTTGCATGCTAAGTCTCTTTATTTCATGTGGTTGGTTTGTAATTTTGTCCTAATGCTTTCCTTTCTCATATAAATGTCTTCCTGTACTCTCTTCCACAAACTTGCACACGTCGCTTAACCCAATGATAGCTAAGTTCGATAACATTTTCGTGTTTGTGGCATTTCCGTAAAGTATACTTGCTGACCTCGTGAACTTATCTCGGATTCGTCTGTGTACAACTTATTTTATATGTTCATTAATTTAAGATTTATGTCACCGTTTCCCTATGCATTACTCGATTTATTTTGTTTATTACCTTTCGCTCAAGTGATTGCCTGTTGCTTGATATCCCCGATGGGGTTACGCCTGATGTGCATGTTGACAAGGTGCCTACCTGTCTATTACCTACTACCTGGTCCATACTGGCTGTAAAAGGATTTTCGATGCCCTGTGTTCAACTCCGCCATCCGCCAACCTTCGAGTGTGAACTACGAGCGCAATTATCGCCCCCCCCCCCGAATTATCTTCGCCATTACAGGGTAACTATTACCCCAATTATCTTTGTCATTACCACCCCAACTATCACCCAATTATCTTTGCCATTATCCTCGCAAGTATCTCAAAACGTGCCCTCGCTACAGGCGTTTACATGCTTTCCCGCACTAATTACGAGCAGTGAAATTATCATCATGCACACTCTCATTTCACGCATCCGGCCTTTATCCGGTCTGTGTTTGACCAATCGCGTGAACTTCACTTGTCCTATATAACCAGTATACTGTATTCTGTATCGCATTGACGATCTGAAACCCTTCCTTGTTGGTCTTGAACCGAATTGTAATTCCTTTGAAACTGCGTTGAGTGGAAGCGCTACTATTGAGGTTTGTTTTATTATTGCTTCCCAATTGTTCGTTAACAGTACCGTCATCTTGTCCAGTGTACTTGTTCTTTGACTGGCTGGATATGCGTTGGCTCAAGGCCCTTCGAAGCGAATTGTCGCTAACACTGGCTCTAGGAGACAGTTAGTCTTTGCTGGAAGGGACTGGGTGCACGGTCCTTGTGGCCGTGTTACGATCAAAGAATGGTTTCATGCACTCAGTGTGGAGCGGACTACGGTCCAGCCACCGCCTTGTGTGTGCTGGATTCCCCAAATACAGCGTGCTTGTTTTTGTTTGTGAAGGAGTGTGGGCCGGCTCCGTTGATGAAACGTGGTTGCCATCCGCATGCCTCCCGGTCTTATTCCTTCAGGTTTACACTGGATATGGGTGTGTGGTTGAATCTGTGGGTGGTGCAGCGCAAGCCATTCATGGTCCCTCTGTGGGCGCAGACGTCCTTTGGCTGGCCACAGTGACAAGCAAATCCGAGCCCGGATGCCGCCAATCATATACATATATATTTGGAAGTTTGAGTGATTGGCCCATTTGGCATGCATAGCAGTATTAGGTAGACCAAATGAACGACGACCCACTGACCTGACGGTGGTTTGGCCGGCGCGGATGACCGATTCTCCAATAGCGTTTGACGGCTGGCGCATAACCAATATATCCTGAAGTGTCGGAACGTAGTCGTCTTGTATCAAGCGATCAACGTGTTTGAGAAAGCTGAGATAATAAAAACAAAGATATAACCATTAGTATATAAAAAAGTACCTAAGAACCAGTTATACAATTCAAGATTCGTCTAGTTTAGATTTCAACATCACTTATATAAAGTAAGGTCTTGTGCTAACTTGTTTATTTTTGGCTTGCATATTAATGTTCACGTGCAGACAGTGAAATGCACTAAGGATAGATGTGACAGATCCAGCAAATTCTGCACCAATGAGCTGTACCTTTGTGCCATTTGTTTACGACGTTGAAATCAAAGGAATAGTCTTCACTATTGGTAAACTATGACGCTGCCATTTTCACTGCCTTGTTACGCATTTCTGGCGGATCAACGTAGCAACGAATTTATCGGTGCTGCTCCAGTGGCAGTTCGCGGTGTCACTGAAACTCGTAAGATTCTGCGTCCATAATTTATACTTACATTAACCACATCCTTGAGTTGGGAGAAGCAACAGCGAAACACCTCCGTATCCTTGGTTTGACTTGAGTTAGCTTCGGTACTTGATAAACTACATTAAACCAACCTCTTCTGATTTCTGATTTTCTAACATAGAACGTAACTTCGCTGAAATGAACGATATCATAGCACGGACAAACTTTAAATGTGTAAATGTGCCCTATAAAAGGAGATTGCCACCTGTTAGTTTGTTTATCTTCTTTATTTGTTAACGTAGCAGCGTAGCAACAGCAAAAACAATAGAGCGAACTCAAAAAAACTGTTCATCAGAGAGCTTCCCTGGTATGTTAATAGGGTGAGAAGTCAATTAGACAGATAGCTGGAAATGGTGAACTGATATCCCCATCATCGCTGTTTGCGAGTTTGCAGGGTAAAAGCCGCAAGCATGTCCTAAGAATAGTTACACAAATCGATTTAATAAGCGATTTTGTCACACATTCTAGCCTATTCCACTACATTTAGAGAAACAGTTTTACTAAGGGTCTGTAAGACGATGAACAGTGATCGCGTTCGTCACACCAAACGACATTAAAACGACTAGAATGTGTGAACTTTATCATAAAGTTGAAATATGAGTTCACAAGTACTTATTCCTTAGCAGTGTTGCATTTGCCAATGTTACTCCCAAAGCCATGAAGTGATTACATCTAGTCCAATTGTTACAAAAGATAGGGTTTCAGAACGTTACCAACAGGAGTGACTCACTACAAATCAGCGTACATCAGCTCTGAGTTGCTGCAGTTTTGCTTATATAACATTTCTTGCACATGAACCTCTTCGGTGAATAACTTTAAAGTCGCCTTGAGCCGAGAGCCCAGGAAACATTCAGGCGAGCCGTCGAACTTCGTATTTCTGAAGACATTCAACTCCATCGTTTGCACTTGTCTCGCAGAACTGAGCGTGTCACTGTTTTTACCAACTTCGGCACTATCAATATTTAGTATATTTTCGGGCGAAGAGTTTTTCTTATGTAAGTATCCTGCTTTAGATACAAAGTGCGCTTCCGCAGAAGAGCCGTTGATGTTGATCAACGAATTACTAATGGAAGGATTTTGGGAATTTTCTGAGGTCAGTGACTGGCTACTGGCCGAATTAACTTCCTTTTCCGCTACGATACTGGCCAGCAGCTCGTCCTCATAAGACAGTGGTGGGGACGCACTAGGGGTAGACGGAGGAAGGTCACTAGGTAATCCAACAGACATTTCGGCAGCTGGGGTATCACCGACCTCCGAATACAGTAGCATTAACTTGCCGATATCCAGTGAGTCCGCTTTCAGCCACTCGATTACTTCTGTTTTTCCCATTTGCTCAACCTTTTTCATCAGCGATGGCGGAACCGACTCATTATACTGGATTATGCGTAGCAGTGCGTCCTGAAGAAAGGCGTTTTCGTTGGCCGGTGACCGATTTTCACCGCAGCGTAAAAGTGAATAGGCAGTATTATTTTCCAGTATCTGGGTGGGGACTGTTGCCTGTGACATTTTTTCATCTCTTGCACGTACCTGATCCGTGGACACACTTATTCTGACTTTGGGGGTGAACTGCGTTGACTGCAGGAAACCAGGTTGCCAGACGCATGAAGATCGACGGAGATCATTGCGGATTGATTGTGTTTCAGTTGTCTGAAGCAGCTTCGAAAGAAAACCTCCAACTGGCTGAGTCTCTATCCATTCGATGGCAAGTTCCTAAAAGTGTAAAAACATTGTGCCTGCTAAAACCAGCTGCAAAACACACATTCCTCTTCTTTGGTCGTTAAAATACGGGAGTGCAAATCGATAAGGCTTCTCTGCGAACGAAACCAATTTTGATTTATCCGCCTACTAAACACCGGACACAATAACTACAATTAAGTGGTGAACCCCTATTTCCTAGTGCTCAGTTTTCAGTGGGAAGGCTTACGATCTGTTCAGCTCCCAGGCAACTGCAGGTCATGGCCCAAGGCATTCCTTCGGTGAGACAGTGACTCATAGGCGATCACCGCTTAATAGCTAGGGCTCTGCTGTCAATCCCCACTCCAAAAAATTAACGTGAAGCCAACCGATTATTTGGGTGTAAGGACGGGCACAAATCCCCAACCTTTACCCAGCAACAACAGGATGGGCTGAAAGTTAGTCCTGATCAGCCTCAGGGTACACAGAAAGTTGGCCAAGCATAGAAGGGACCCCAGTTACGCACTCGGCTGTACATTCCATATCGAGGGATACAACGGGTGGAAACCACCATCTGACTTTCCCTGACTCGTTTCCCTCACTCGAATTGATTCATTTGCGCCGTTGAAGTGCAACGTCAACTACGTCAGACATTCCGTATGTTTCTGCCGCCTAATGGGAGCGGAGGCGATGGCATAGCTTTTCGGACCCAGAATGGAGGTGACATATTGTCAGTTCAAATGGGATCAACCAAGTGGGCTAAATCATCTCAGTGGGCATGTTTATCGCAAACTCATCTTATAAACAGTAACTACTGGGTATTTTAACTTGAGTCAATGAAGGGATATAAATTTCTTTCACTTTGCCTCACATCACCACTCGATTCCAGTTAATTGCAACTGATGTGGCTAGATTAAACCCGTAGCGACCAATACACACTAGATGTGACGAATTTCTACCTATACCATTCAAATCCCCCTACTCCTCATTCTCTGTAATCAATACACACTTGTCTGATCGTCTCACTGCTAATCTTCACCAAATTTTTAGGCGATACATCCAATGGGGAAAGGGGTAGTTAATTGGCGTAAACAGTTTGTTTGTGGTCTCAGTTACCGCTGGTGATGGTCCCACGTGAGTAGACGTTGAATTAACCGGTGTTAACTATGCACACCGATCGCTGAGGAAATAAGACGATTATCTGGTGTGTAGTCGCGCGTGGGGGGGGGGGCACCGCCTAACAGAGTTGCTGGTAATTACAGGAGAACAAAAGATAAAATTCGTCTCGGTATGTGCACATGAAGAATTGAACCATAATCATGAGAAATTAGTCAAAGCCACACTTGGTCAGACGATCACTGCCCATAGGGAATAGCTTTGGACACCCGTTTCCTTTATCCGGCGCTAGCTAGCGCACATTTCCTTTCTACTTGTTAGGTAGCAATAACGCGCGCATCCCTCTCGTTGTAGGCAGTAACCGAAGACGGTGGGCACGATGTTAGCTATCGTCACCAACTTGCTAACTGCGACACAGCGGGGCTAATTCACTGCCAGTTAGACTTCCGGATTGCAGATAACTGCGACAGACCCCAGAAACATCGCTTCCTCCTCGGAATCGAAGATTATCCAATAGCATCTTAGGCTACCTAGCTGAACTCCTGAGTTATCGGAGGCAGTAATCAGTGAACTGGGATGAATTTTGTCAGGGGCGCTTCAAGGCTTCTACGTTTCTTGTACAAAGGCATTCAGTTTTCTCTTAATGACAAATTCTTTCAGAACACCACCACATGAGGAATGAGTTGCCCAGGGTGAAATGACCAGAAGTAACGGTTTGGTCACACGCTAGAGACTCAGTGAGTTCACCGACCGACCGTCCGGATACGAGATAGCCGTTCAGTCGCTGAGAAAGCAGGTGAACGAGGTCTCAGAACATCATTGACAAATCACTTGAATGAAGTTACATTCCCACGTAGATTCAGTTGTAGGTTTACACCTTTACCCACCAAACGAATATCATGGATGTTAGCCCGTCAACAAGCAGATAGAATGTACACACCTGACTGTCATCAAAGTGACGAACTTGGTGACCAGGGCCTTTCCGGATACGCTGTAGCTGTGACGACTGCCTGTAAAATTAATTCAAATCCTTCCGGCGTACTTGCGTGTGTGGGTGAAACCAGATGGGTTTCGCTACTTCAACCCTGCAAACTGGAAAGGAATGCTATAGTTCGGGGGCCTGAATGATAAAACGATAGTTTTACTACTTCAATATATTTGGGACTGTTCATCCAACTCTGACTTGAAACCAAAATTTATACTTATGGTCTAAAGATGACGGATGATGCAGTGTCTGCACGTGGAATAACTTACGGTATTCACGTTCTCTGGGCGAGAACTCAGGGGACAGATACCACGTTACTAAAAGGGGACGGACTGGTGCATCTTGAGCTCACGTCACATAAAAAGCAGATTTGCATTATATTACAGCATATCCAACACAATGCCATGAAAAAGGCACCGAACGGATGAAGTGAGCTAGGTAGAAGGTACAAAGGAGATGGTGAACACTCAGCCTTGCGTAATGATTTGATAGCTCGAGGTAGCACGGTGTTTTGACTCTTACGGGTACGTTGCACTATCCTCCATAGGTAACTATGGCCGAAGTGAACAGCATCGTGGAGAGTGGGGGAATGTAGGAATCAAAAACACAGAAGGCTTCGCCAAACATGCCGTTTGAGACTGCACAAAGGTAATAAACATTTTATGCTTTCATTTGTCTGCTGCAGTAAACGTACAGGGCATGAGTTAAAGATAACATATTTCGTTAATGTTTATTCCACAACGCTACTTATGCTCCAATAATATTAACGCCAATTAGTGAAAGCAGAATGTCACGGGCATTTACCGTCCGACCGGAAAAGGCGGACCGAAAACTGTATGGTGTCAATCTAGTTCAACACTAGGCGCGGCTCTACGAAGGAGCTGTGTGCATAACCGCAAAGCACATACCTGTTTATTTAGGGTTCTTCGTAGCTAACCTCCAAATCAGATAGACGTCAACATGCCGGAAAAGCACTAGACTGCAGTTTCAGCCTGTTGGGCATCATCAGTAGTGCGCGTCCATCGGGTCCATCTGGATTCGAACCCATGATCACAAGAGGCTTGCACCGCCAGTCAGCAGCTCATGCCAATGGGCCACGGGTGACAGCTTCCGATCGTTATAATTTGCAAGCTAAATGCGATATAGCGCATCTTATCTTCCACCGCCATGCACCTAAAGAACTTTGCAGAGGAAAGCCCTAGCCCCGAAAGCCACGACGTCCACTGACATTAGGGATGAAATACATGGCATTTAGGAACTGCCAGGACGGATATACCGTACGTTTGATAAGAGTCTTTCGTTTTTGCTCAGTCGCCGCGCAGGTCAGGGGTAGATTGGAGCTCACTAATTTGTCGACCCACCAATGGCATGTAAGTCTACTGTATTTACTCACCCACGCATGTCTGGGGTGTGAATACGACGTGAGGACGCATATCGGTGCATGTGTCCTTGAAATATGTTAATGACCCTCGTCGATTTCGACACCGGTCAGTTCAGATTGGGTCGATGCCGACGTTTTTGGCTGGTGGTTTGCAACATCTCGACAGCAGTGCATAATGCACTGGCTACCGTGTTCAAATGTTGGTGGCGCTTCGACAGTTGCTTAATGTTATCCCAGCAAATGATAAAAGGGTTAGTGACAACGCTGTTGTAGACTGAATGTTACCTTCACATAAACCATCTTAGCAAAATAAGCATTCGTAACAATTAGACGGTGAAAATATGAGATGCTACTTCTGCATAAATGAGTCGGGAACAATGTCTACCAGCTACTGGAGGCTCATCGGATCTATTTGCAAGTGCGCGGCCGCCTAAGGAGTTAATTCCAGCAGAATACAGAAATAAAAAGAAAGCTGAGTGCAGTGGCTTTTGAACAGATTTTATCAAATCTCATTTTATTCCATCAGCTTGGACAATTAAATCAAAATCAGTTTCGCAATGAACACGAGAAGGAATTTTACAGTATTGGTATGGTAAAAGAATCCTAGAAGTAGATAAAGAAGCGTTTAGGTCAAATCTAATCACCCATTTTAGAAAGAAAGGTGATGGAAGAATCCAGCGCGTACGATGCATTTATTTGATGAAACCAGTCTGTTTACGGCTGAATATTCAAGCGTTGTTGGTGTATTAAGCATTTTATTGACTTGACTTGAGTTCCCCGCCTTGGCAGACTTGAATGTTTAAATATTCCTTATCGCCCAGATACGTATCCGGCCAATCTGGAAAACCTTAATATGCCATCCTACTAGAATTTTTGGTATTTTAAGTATCCATGGAAACGGTGTAAATAGATCACTGACGATTCACGCTCAACCGTTTGTTCCACGGTCATGACACATTCAGTAGTTGCGAATGACTTAACAAGCGTAAAAGTATTGCCCATTAGTTAATTTCCGGTGGCCGGTGGGACTCTCTGGGACTCTTTTAACTTCCGATATAATTCCACGGGATGTACAGCTGAGCGCCTAATCGTACTCCCACAACGACAGAACAACAACAGATCATGGTGACGTGCTGGTATAGATTTGTTTTCCTATTTCGTTAGACTGCTGCTACCAAAAGAAATGCGGATGTTCTACGTGTGCCCTAAAGCTCGATCCACCTGTGTGTTGGCGAAATGTGGGTGGGTGAGATTTTCTGTTTTATGTGAAGCTGCCCTTTTTCACTAGTTGCAAAGTACCCAAGACAAAATGAACCGTAATCGCTTTCAGCTCATATGTGCTTTTGACACGTCAAAGAAATTGACCAGGGGTTCAAATTCTCTACAGGCCTTCTGAACTGGAAGCAGAGAGTGCGGAGATGATATCTGAGATTGGGGCAGCACTACGCGTCTGCTGGTGGACTCGCACCAAACCGCAATCAGATCCCTCATGTATGAATTTGAAGTTGACGAGCTGCTAACAACTTGTCGTGGAGTGTGAGGCATGAATCCAGT